CCCCCCCCCCACTCCGCACCACCAAATTGCCCCGTTGATTGAACTGACTGCTAATTTTAGTGTCGCTCGTTCCCTGAGCCGCCTGCCTGCCTGCCTGCCTGCGCTCAGTGCCGCATTCCCAGCTGCGAATCGCAATCAGCGGGATGTTAATGAATCGGCATCCCATCCTTGCATGCCGAGAGGCGCCGGGGTTGAACACGCCCCGCGAGATTGCGGCCTGGCAACGCCGCCGCCTCAGGATGTCGTTTTGGGAATGACGTGTGCGGCCGGGGGAGTGGCCGCATCTGTTTGCCGGGGCGAGAGCTCTTCATGGATCTTCTCCTTCCGGACATTCGGAAGCAGCACGACATAAAATGCCACGGAGCCGGATGGGAGAGAGGCCCCGGGAGTCACCGTGGAAAGCATAGCCGTCAGAGGTCAAGGAGAAGCTGGGACAGGCCCATGTGACCCACGATAAGCGGGAACACGGCGTCCGTAGCCACGTCGGGCTTTATCAACAGCGTCTGAGCAGAGAGTCATCGGGTCTCCCCACCTTCCCCAGTCACCCACTCACTGGTCAGGGCAAATGATTGTGTTTTGGATAAACGGTTTTTTAGGAAAACTAGTAAGAAAGACTCGGGTCAGAGTCTACCGTTAACTGCTATCTGAGCTTGCAGCGGCCCACCTTATAAGTGCAGGTGTCTCTGTCCTGCTCGCTGACAGGCAGCAGGGGGACTAGTGGTTAAGGAAAGGAGGGATCGAGTTTTATGTAAAATTTGTTCCTTGCGTCTGCTTTCAGACACTGCTGACAGGTGCATCATGGGAAATGTGCAATCTCCATATCGCAGCCTCAGCTGAGACCTTGAAGCCTGTGAGTCACCATGTACTTTTTCCCATCAGCCCGCGCTGGGGAGGCTGGCTACATGAACTGGGGTACAGACTCGGTGGGGGGGGGCTACCGCATACTGTCGATGGCCCTTTAACCCATTTCCTGTTGGCTTCTCTGTTCCCATTGGGTTAAACTGGGAAGTGATTGGAAGCTCACAGTAATCCAGTCACTAACAGTTTGGAGGCCTTATTTCTCCCATTACTACCAGTATGCATTTAAAGTCCCTGAATACATGGGAAAAATGGCCACTTACCTTCACTGCCCACAAAAGTTTTTGCACAGTAGATGGAATTGCCTTCCGTGGGTGTCTTTACACAAGTCAGACACTAGAGGGGTCATGTCTTTTGTCAGGTGCCTCAAGGTGAATCTCCACTATGCAGCCAGAATACATGGAGAGGGGCATATGCAGGCTGGCCGCTGAGCAGCCCCCCACCCCCCCGGCCCAGGGCCCCTGCGTGCCGAGCGGCCAGCTGCAGCAGTAAGATGAGCCCAGCCCCTGCTGCATTGTCCTTCAGGCTCTCTCTCCCCCTCTCGCTGGCCAGCGGATCCAGTTTCCGCCGCTGCTCCTGGGATCCATGGCCTATGCTGTACTTTCATTTTAATTTAGCAGATAAGCTGAACGTTATCAAACACATCTGTCCCTGGAGTCTGGACACATTCGCTGCC